TAAAGAAGGCTGAGCACCTAGAATTGATGGTTTCAAACTGCGATGCTGAAGAAGACTCTTGAGAGTTCCTTGGACTGAAAGGAGATCAAACCAGTCAATTCTACAGGAAATCAACCCTGAATATTCATTGGAAGGACTGATACTGAAGCTGAAGCTCCAGGACTTTGGCCACCTGATGTGAAGAGCCAACTCACTGGAAAAGACCCTGATGTTGGGAAAGATTGAAAGCAGGAGGAGAAGGGGATGACAAAGGATGAGATGGTTGGATGGCATCACCAACTCAACGGACGTGAGTCTGAGCAAACTTCGGGAGACAGTGAAGGACAGGAAAGTCTGGCATACTGCAGTCCATAGGGCTGCAGAGTCAGACACACCTAGCAACTGAACAATAACAACTACATACATAGAAAAGAGCTAAATTCCTTAACTTGGAATATCTGCTTTTCTTTAATTAAAAATAATCTTTTGAAGTTCAGATTACCTGCCCTTTGTTGCAAATTTCTATATAACATGGCACACACACACTCTTCACCACCCTGGTGGAGTTCTCTCAGGGTTACTTGAGATGCAGACACCCAGGCTTCCTGCCTAATAAACAGAACTCTCAACTTTAAGGTTGTGAATATCCTTTAAGTCCACAGGAGGGAGGGGAGAGGGAAAGGAAGCAGAGAGAGAGGCAGATGTATCTTCAGAATGACTAGATGCAGAAGTGGGAGGCACACACCTGGCCATTCCAGCAGCTGTCAGGTGGGCAAGCAGCAAGTCCCCAGAGCAAGAGGTTGAAAGAGGGAGCCTGAGTTGTCCCTGCCCCCGCCCCCCAGGGCTGGGTGAGCCTTTAGGAAAGCCCCCTGGCATAACTTTGGTTGATGAGCCTGGCTATACCAAGCCTATGGATACCGGGCCTGGATACAGACCCAGAACTGCCATGGGTTCAAGGGCGTGGCTTTCTGAGTGCAGCAGGCTAATTAGGCCACCCCACCCCCACCCTATCAGACAAGTCCGACTGGAGTGTGGGCTGAAACCAAGCATCAAGCTCAAGGGAACCAGCTGGGCTCTTTACCTCAGTTTTCAGGTTATGTTGGGTGTGGCCAGAGCTGGTGCAGTCCCTGCTCCCCAGACCTGAGACCCAGAAGGAGACTAAGGGCCACGGCCTATGGCATGTGCCTGGGCCCCAGCGTTGTGTAGTTCCCAAGGATGTCATCATACCTGAACTGCGACATCTCAGGACACACAGAGTCTCACCTTCAGCCTCTAAGGAAAAAGCCCCAGAAGCCTCTCCAAGTTGATCTGTCCCACTCTCCTGTCACCTGGACATCACAGAAGACCACAGAAGCAGAGCCCCGGCAGAACTCTGCACACACAGCCCACTCACCAGGCAATCACACACACTCACGTCCACGCATAACCACACGGTGCCCAGGGTACCCCCACCCTGCCCACAGGACTGGGCCCCTCTTATAGGGTCCCTCTTCCCACCCTGCCCCATCCTGACCACCCTGCCATCCTGCCTCAGCCCCTCCCTCTTGCCACCTCTCCCCGCGGGTGAATGGTTAAGAAGCCACTTCTCCTGTGCCCTACCCCCACCCCCCACCCCCGTCACCACAAATGTCACCCAGAAAGGGTGTGAGAAAAGGTCAGTTGACAAAAAAAAAAAAAAAAAACAGCTCCAACAGGAAATGTGCTGTGAAAGTAAGAAGTATGACTACTGGGGGCGCTCCACCTGCAGCCCCAGCGCAGGCAGGCAGGCGGTGCGCGGGTCTCCATCCGCCCCCAGCCTCCCCGCCCCCAGGAGAAGCAGGGGTTAGGGCCGGGGCAGCTACAGAAGCTGCCCTGGCTCACAGGCCCGGGAGGCGTCGGGCCAGGCCAGAGCTGCACACCGTGGATGCTCTGTGAACGATTGTTGAAGCACAGGCAGTTAATGGCACCTGAGACAGAACACCAGAAAGGCACTGACGCCAAACCCAGGAAAGCCCGCTTCATGAAGGATGGTCGGCGGCCTCTAGGCTCCGCTGGGAGGGTCAGGTCCGGCTGGCTTTGGGACCCAGCCCGCCCCAGCCGGCTGCAGCGGAGCACCCAGGAGGCTCATGAGTCCTCCTGGGCGGAGGGTTTAGACACGGGTGCGGCCGGGATCTCCAGCCGGTCCGCACTGTGGTCCACAACCACTGCCCCGAAACCTCCTCCTCCACCCCTGGATCCTCATCCTGTCACCTCCCCCCACCATGGGACGGCTGACGGCCGGCGGGGAAGGCCTCCTCTCAGCCTCCTGGCCGCCCGCACTCCACTTTGAAGAAGGGGTTCTGGGCACCGCCGCCTCGGCCTCCTGGGCCGCCTCCCTCCCCTGTGCTCCACCGGAAAAGTGTCGGGCCACCTGTGGGCCTCCCCCACCCCTGCCCCGGCTGCCGTGGGTGCGCGCGACGCCCCCGCCCCCGGGACCAAACTGAACCTCGGCAGCTGGCGCTGCGCGGGGGAGAGGGGCCGGCGGGCGGGGCCTGGGCGCCAAGCCGCGCCCCCCGCGCTCGAGCACCGCCTCTCCCGCCCGGACTGCGGGCTGCGGCGGGCTCCGGCTACCGGGCAGTTTGGGCTGCTACGCCGCCAGGCCGGGTACCCGCGTCCGCCGGCGGTAAGTCAGGGCCCGGCCGGCCCGGCGGGCCGGGGCGCGTGTATGGGGCCCTCCCCGGCGCGGAGGGGGAGCGGGCGAGTGAGGCCCTGGGCAGGAGGGAGGAGCCTACGGGAGGGAGCCTGGGGGTCGGGGTTGTGAGCGGCCAGGCCCCAGGGCTCGCCTGCCCGCCTGGCTCCCCCGCTCCCCGGCCCTCCCCAATATTTCTGACGGACGAGGGCGGGAGTGCACGGAGACTGCTGCGGGCTGGGTAGTCCAGGGTTGCGCAGGCGCCGGGGGCCCATCGCCCAACTCTAGGTTCCACGACCCCTCACGTGGGAACTGGGGAGAAGCAGCCTTCCAGACTTGAGAGGGCTGGGATCTTGGCGGCTGGCAGGAAAGAGAGAGTTAACTGCCCAGGAGGGTGACCACGGAGACGGGAGCCCGCCAAGGGAAGAGGTGAAAGCACCTTGTTTGGCATAAATTATGCAAGCACTGGAGATGCCTAGGAGCCCACTCCCTGCGCTGGGCCGCCCTTCCTTCCCTGGGGCCCAGGACCAGCTCCTACCTCTCTTGCCGGTGCAGAGTCACTGAGTGCCAGGCTTCGCCAGAGATCAGCCCGATCCGTGCGCCTGGCAGACAAGTACACAGTCCGCGATTGGCCGAACCCCACCCCCAAACTCACTGGCTCCTCTCAGGGCTCCTTTCCGCGTGACCCCACTAGTGTGGATACGTTAGTGTCCAGTGCCTGGACTCAGCCCGCTTGGGGGGAGGGGGAACCTGGCAGCAGTCAGTGGTGATGCTGGCCGTGCCAGCCGGGGCCGGCGGCTGTGGGCACCAGAGCTTCCTTCAGGACCGCTCGGAGCGCCTCCCGCGGGATTCTCACTTTATGGAGGAGGAGACCGAGACTTCTTCCTCCCTGAACTGCCTGGATCCGGGCACAGGCCCCAGGGGGGCTTGGCGCTGTTCTTGGACATCTGCGGCTCCTTCTCTGCGCCCCAGGACATCAGCCCTTGGGCAAGAGAGACCTGAAGCCCATTCTCGGGGTCTCCGCTAGCCCCTCCCAAAATCTGTCCTCTCCTTGGCATTCTCCTTCCTCCCAGTGCCTAGGGACTAGTGCCCTCCCCCACACACAGCTCTCCCCTGCAGAAAGCGCCAGACTGCTCCTCCCACACCTCGCCTGAAACTGAAGTCCAGAACCCCAGCTGGTCTCATTCTGAGAGCTTTCTCCACCCCCTGCTAAGGATCTTTGCCCAAAGGAGTGTCCTGGAACGGGCTTGCCCCCATCCTCCTGAGCCTGGGCCTGTTCCCACTGGGGTGACTGGTGGCACACTGCTGGGTCCCCATGAGCACCCCGCCCTCCCCCCCCACCAGCCACCAAGAGCAGCAGATGCTTCTGCGGTCCTTGTCTTCAGTGCTGCCCCTGGACAAATGGGAGAGCCCTGTACTGGCTCCCCCAGCACAGATGCTGCCCGGGGGATGCTTAGCTAGATAAGCCCTGTGCCCCCAGTCTAGCTCTCGGACTCCATGGCAGGCATGGCACTGGCCCCATGGAAAGTTCTGGATGCCGGTCAGCTAATATTACCAGCCACCATCCCTCCAGGGCCCTTGAACTCGAGAAACTGATAAGAGACCAGATCAGAATTCCAAACAAGTCTTTACAGGTGCTGAAACTGCAGCACAAGGAAGCAAAAACAAGAAGCAGGTGCCCTCACCTGCTCCCCGAGAGGAGCTGCTTCCATCCTGAAACGGAGTGACAACAGGGGCGGGTCTGTGGGGGAGGCAGGAGGCATCGTTTAGGTGGTCTGTCCCCCTGCTTGGTGCTGTGGGGAGATCCTGAACACCACCCTGCTTGTGCTCCCAGCACCTCAAAAATGTAGTTTGTTTGTGGCTTCTTGTATCCTTTTGCCCAGGGGGTGCATAGGCATTGTGATTTTTAGTCCCTTATAGTTTCTTTGTATTGTGTTGCTCACTGGGACGTTTGTCCAGGTGCGAGCACTCTGGTAGAGGACCCCAGGTCCTAGCCCGTCTCACCCACACTGCAGGGCCCTCTCCCTTTGTCTCCCTTTCTGGGGGATTCTGAAAGCCCTGATGACTTCCCTTATCTGACATCTGCCCCCTCCCCCAGCAGCAAGTGCCACAGACTTGAGGGAGGGTCTCAGCCAGGAGCCTATGCTGAGCGAGGGGTGGGTTCGGAATGGAGCAGAAAGACCCGTCTGCACTCTGGCCTTGCTTCTGGCACCTCCCGCCCCCCATCTACAAAGTGGGGTCGCCAACTGTCCCCCAGGGCCAACAGCTCTGACCCCGTTGGAAGAAGCAAAGCCCGCCCCCCAGCACACCGTCTCTTTGGAGCAGGGCTGACTTCAGCTTCCTGAGAGCCCAGCCAGACGCCCATCCCTCCAGAATGAAGGTCTTCCTGCCGTTGCTGCTGGCTGCCCTCCTGGGCGTGGAGCAAGGTGAGGTGCCCCGGGCCCCAGGCCTCCAAGACGGCTGTGGCTGGGTCACCAGTGCCACTCACTGCCTCCCCGCCGCCCATGAGGCGTCACTCCTGCCCCCACCTCCCCTGGAGGCCTCAGGCCTGCCCCAACACTTGGACATCATTGGAACCCCTCCAGGGCCAGGGTCTGGTGTGTCCTTGTTCTTCCAGGTCTCCAGCCTGGGTCCCGTGTGCCATAGGGACCGTATCAGTGCCTGCGCAAGAGGGGGTGCCCTCAAGCCTCTGGGTCGGGGCTGGGAGGGGGCACCGGAAGACCCCCTGGCCTGAGACCACGTCCTTCCTGCAGCCCACTGCCTGATGTGCTTCACCTGCCAGAATCAGAAGAGCAACTGGTACTGCCTGAAGCCAACCATCTGCTCCGACACCGACAGTTACTGCGTGACGGTCTCTGCCTCCGCCGGCCTGAGTGAGTGCGGGTGCAGGGCGGCCAGGCTCCCCCAGCCTCCCCCCCTCCTCCACTCACAGCCTCCTTTCCGGTGACGCAGAGAACGTGGTGGACTTCGGCTACTCCCTGTACAAGTTCTGCTCCCCGACCTGCGGCTCCTCGAGCATCAACATCGGCGTGGCGTCCATGGACATGTCCTGCTGCCAGAGCTTTCTGTGCAACATCAGCGCGGCGGACGGCATGCCGCGCGCCAGCACCTCCATGCTGGGCCTGGGGCTTCTGCTCAGCCTGCTGGCGGCTCTGCTGTGGGCTGGACCCTGACTGCCCGGCCCAGGCTCCCAAAGCTCAGGAAGGAAGGAAAGCCCAGACCCAAGAGAATCTCAAAGCCGCCGCCTCTGACTCCTCACCCTGCTAGTCCCACCTTCTCAGCCCTGGGTCCCCACAGGCAGGCCTGGCCCCCTGTACCCACACCTGCCAGCTCCCCTTACTCCAGGTCAGCCTTGTCGGGGGAACCTGGGAACGGAGCCTGAGCGTCCGGGAGTCAGAACCGAGTCCCAGGGACACGCCGGGAGGGGCTCCTAATCCCAGGCCCTCCCTGCCCCCAAGTGCAGAAGATGTGCTGTGTGGACAGGTGTGTGGTCCATGTGCCCAGCTGGGCATGTGTGAGTGTGTTTGGGGGAGGGGTGGGGGTCAGAAGTGTGTCTGGAGCCCCAAGTGCCAGCACAGAGCCCCAGTTCCTGGTATCTCTGCACATGTCCTTGTCATTTCACTCACTTAGAGGGTGGCCCTTTGGGGAGACAGGGCTTCCCCTGTTCCCAGGTCTAGGCTACCAACCCAGGAATCTGCTCCCACCCCAGATCCCACAGCCGCCCACCCCCTCCCTCCACCCCACACTCCTGCTGCTTCATTGCCTCAAATAAACACATTTCCACCCTTTCTGGCTCTGGTGTGGCCCTCAGCTTGAGACCACCCCTCCCATCGGGGTCCTAGTAGGGGGGGCAGCAGAGATCCAGAGCCTCAGGTGTAGAGGGGTCTGACGGTTCCCTGTGATGAGCCCCCACCCTGAAGCCCACTTGGAGGCCCTGAGGGAGGGGTCACCCAAGTTCACAGCTAGCTGCCCTCAACTGGGTGGAATCATTTGATCCTCAGGACAGGACTGGAGTGGACAGGGAGACTGGGGCGGGGCAAGGGAGGTGGTCAGCCCAATTCTAGATGGGAGGCAGGGCCCTACAGAAGGAGGGATGGGATTGGAAGGGAGGAGACCACCCCGCACATTCTGGGACTTGGGTAGGGCTACCTGGGCCAGTCGGGCTGCAAAGGACACACAGCATGGGTGGGGGGGAGGGGGCGTGCAGGAGCTGAGTAAGGGGGAACAAGGCCCCTGTCTCAAGGGCATGTGAGAGGGACTCCCCTGGAGAAGGGCTGGGGTGCTTCTCCCTGAGTGGCAGCCCTCCCTGCTCGCGCCTACTCCCCGGCATGCCCCACTGGTCTTCGGCCATCCATGGACCCCTAGCATCTGCTGTGGGGCCTGGGTTCTAAGCCAAGGGGATTCTTTGATTAGGTTGGTGGCCCAGGAGCAGCGGATCCAGGACTGCAGGGTGGCAGGAGTGAGCGCAGCACAGCTCGGCCCAGGCTGACCAGAAGCTCCCATGTGCTTGAGTCCAGAGTCCAAGGATCACTGTGAAGCAGGGCAAGGCAGTGGTCACTGCGGGGCTCCGGTTCTGGCCCATGTCCTGGGCCCTGGTCACAGGGGCGGTGAGCAGCTCCGCACAGATGGGCCCTGTGACACCACGAGTGCAGTGTCCTCATCATTGCCACCAAGGAAGACTCCAGCCAACACTTGAGGTTGGGGACCAAGGCAATGATAGAGCTCCAAGGAGGGACAAGAGGAGGAGTCTGCCCTGGGAAATCAGGGTGGTCCAGCAGGATGAGGAGGGGGAGCAGATCCAGGCCCAGCCTACGTATTGTGGAAGGATCTAGAAGCACATTGCAGCAGTCTGGTTGAGACTCCAGGGTGGTAAAAAGGTTGAGATTTGAGTGAGTCATTTGAGTGGGTCAGACCAGCATTAAAAACCAAAACAAGAAGCAATTAAAGGAGAAGAAATCAGAACGTCCCCCAGGAATTCTGGTTACCCCTGGAGTCCTGAGTCCTGAAAGCAGAAAGTTCAAGGACTTCCCTGGTGGTCCGGTGGTTGAGACTGCACATCCATTGCAAGGGGCACAGGTTTGATCCCTGGTCTGGGAACCAAGATTTCACATGCTACGCGGTGCAGGGGAAAAAAAAAGCAAAGCCAGAATACTGCTCCCCACCAGTCCTGCTCCACAAGGGTTAAATTGCAGCCCGTTGCAGCATCCGATGGGGAGCACAGGAGGAAGCCTTCTGTGTTTTGGATGTGCACTCTAGGTAGCGAAGATGTGGGTCTAAGAAAAAATTTCAATGACCCCCAATTCTTGCATCTTCCCATATATAGAAAGCACTAAAATCATTAACATGAGATGTCTGTCTTTTGTGATTCGCTGTAATCTACCTGATGCGAAGAGCCGACTCTTTGGGAAAGACCCTGATGCTGGGAAAGATTGAGGGCAGGAGGAGGGGGTGACAGAGGAGAGGACAAGATGGTTGGATGGCAGCACCAACTCACTGGACGTGAGTCTGAGCACGCTCCAGGACACACTGAAGGACAGATGTGAGGTTACAGGCAGGAAGACCAGGGGCCCAGAGGAGATAGGCCGCAAGTGTCAGATGCTTTTGGAGGAGGCAATGGCACCGCACTCCAGTGCTCTTGCCTGGAAAACCCCATGGACGGAGGAGCTTGGTAGGCTGCAGTCCATGGGGTCGCTAAGAGCCGGACACAAGTGAGCGACTTCACTTTCACTTTTCACTTTCATGCATTGGAGAAGGAAATGGCAACCCACTCCAGTGTTCTTGCCTGGAGAATCCCATGGATGGAGGAGCCTGGTGGACTGCCATCTATGGGGTCGCACAGAGTCGGACACGACTGAAGCGACTTAGCAGCAGCAGCAGTCAGACGTTTTTATCTCTCTCTAAAGCAGCAGAAGGAAACAAACTATAAGTGTGAGTTTTTTTCCCTTCTCTATACAAAATTAAAAGGAGGTTTCTTTTTAATTTCTCTGTTGCTGATACCTGGTTCCACCTGAGCTTAACTTTTCTCAAACCTTGAGCTAACCAATGCATTTTTCTTATGGAAATGTTTTCCTTAAGCATTTAACATTTCCTTAAATGTTTTCCCTATTTATTCCTTAAATAAATTATGTATTTCCCCTAGACTCTCTTCAAGTCAGTTTCCACCTAAGACTCAGAACGATAATGACTCAACAAACCAGTATGTTTTACTCATACAAATGTTCTCGTAATCTATGTCAATGAAACTGGGTATTTGCACGGAACTCTGCCTTTCTTCAAGATTCCTGTCAATCATTTAATGGCCCTGAATGGCTCACCTGGTGCCACTGTTATCTCAGTGCATGTTGTGGGTGAGGGGCCTTGCTCTAATTAGCAGCCTGCTAGTAGGTATGTTTTTCAAAAGGAAATAGCAGCCCACTCCTGTGTTTTTGCCTGGAGAATCCGATGGACAGAGGAGCCTGGGGGGCTGCAGTCCATGGGTCGCAAAGAGTCGGACACGACTGAGCGACTGAACAGCAACACTTGACAACCTGTGTTTCCCAATCAGAAGGATTCAGGTAGATCCTAGCTCATCCCTACCTTTTCGAGACATTTCCTCAGAGCTACTGAGAGCCCATCTCCCAGGCTTGAGTCCTGAGTACAGTCCTGGAAAAAGACTGAAACTGTGTAAGCAGATAGGTTAGGGAGTCCCTGGAGAAAGCGTCAGGAATGGCTTTCTTGACATAAGAAAAGCCATTTTGTGATCTAAGCCTGGTCACAGCGCTTGCCCTTGAACACTGTCAGTAATCCATGATCTTCAGGGGACAAAGGAATGCTGGGACAGAGGAAAAGCGGTCAAACAAGAGTGCAGTGATAACATAAAGCAGGGTCCTAGTTCCTCCTCAAGGGAAATACATAATAATATGTCTCTGAGTTTTGTAGGGCTTCCCAGGTGCCACTAGTGGTAAAGAACCCACTTGCCAATGCAGGAGATGTAAGAGACTCAGGTTCTATCCCTGGGTTGGGAAGATCCCCCGGAGAAGGGTATGGCAACCCACTCCAGCATTCCTGCCTGGAGAATCCCATGGGCAGAGGAGTCTGGTGGGCTACAGTCTATAGGGTCCCAAAGAGTCAGACACGACTGAGCAACTAACACTTTCACTTTGAGCTATGTCATCCTTTTAAAGCTTGTGCCCTGCCCACTTCCCTCCTGTTTTAAGACCAGCAGGGCTGGGCAGTGCTGGTGACAGGGACAGAGTGAAGAAACGAAGTAGGTGATTAAATAGTTACTCTCAGTAAGGGAGCATAAGTAAGGAAAAAAGTATGGGAGACCTCTGTAAGTTAATGATCACTCAAGAAAGCAGGCTTGCTTAGCAACAAACCACACAACAGAAGCACAAGACATGTCCCCAAACAATGGTGGAGTGAGACTCACATCCTGTTAAATCGACTTTTAAAAAATGCACAATGTGACAGTTTCAAGTGAGGTTTTATTTGGGGCAAAATGAGGACTGCAGCCCAGGAGACAGCACCTCAGATAGCTCTGAGAAACTGCTCCAAAGAGGCAGGTGGGGAAAGATCAATACATATGTGATTTTGGTGAAGGGGAGTTCCTGCAATCAAGCACATATTTTTGCAGGTTTCGCTAGTCATGAGAAGCAGATGTCACCATAATGGAATTCAGTGCTTTTCCAGATATGAGGAGACGCAAGAATTGGGTTGATAATATCAGCTCCTGAAAACATCTTACTGAAGACGGCAGTTTCCTGAGGGTACAGAATGCCTCATTCTTGATCTCCACCCTAAACTCCTTCAGGGAGTGTTGGAGGTCAGCAGCTGCAGCAGCACATGGTTTAACCCTTGTAGAGGGAGATGGCTAGTGCCAATTTGAGGTTGACAGCGACCACCTTTTTGACCCTTTTGCACATTTCCATAGCACCAGGACAACCCCAGTTCAACAATGTAGAAACAAGAAGGCTTCTCTGCCAGACATGGAGGAGGAGCTGATGAGGAAAGTTTGACATCTACTCAAGAATGAGTAAAAAGATGGTCTTTTTTCCCTTCCCAACCTCTTCTACATTATAAAAAATGAAGCCCACCCAGCTTTCATGGCAAGGCTCCCTTACCTGTCCGCTAGTATCCCTCACAGTGTCCTACACTAACAAGCCTCTGCCCTTCCTG